CACCAACTGTGTTGGTTTCTTGTGTTAGTCCCATAGTTCTAGGCCATTGCTTCCCAGTGCCTTTCATGGGTCTTGCTAACACAGAAAATGGTTTTTGTTCAGCAGCACACTGAGTAAACTGGGAGGAGATTTAGAGCCCTGGATAAAGGTATCACACCTACAGGTAACAGTCTTGGGGCTTTGGTCGCTCATTTTCATGTACTGCTCTTTTTCCCTGAGAACTGTTTCCATGTTAAAGGATAGAAGAAATCATTTTGCTTAAAGGCAAAATAATTAAAGAGCAGGAAAATTGAAAGGTGACTACTCTGAGTTTTCTGTCTCATGAAATGATAGTTCTCAAACTTGTCGTAGGACCCCATGACACCTCTAATTATTGAAGACCCCAAAGAACTTTTGTTCATGTGGATTATAGTTAATACTTATTATAAAAATTTCAAAAATATATTTATTAAATAATTTTAAAATAATAATAAAACTCCTACATGTTAACCAAAAATATCTTTATGAAAAATAATATCTCAGTTAAACTGGTTGGATTCTCAAACCTACTTCTGCATTCATTCTGTTGTAATAAATTGTTTGGATTAAAATACACGAAGGCAATCTGTAATTGAAAAAGAGAGCTTCTCCTAGACCCTCTAAAAGGGTTTTTAGGGACCCTTAGAAGTCTTCAGATCACATTTCGAGAACCTGTATTGTATAGAAACTAAAGGAGGCATACAAATGTTTTCCCTGTTACCAGATGCTACTTATATGGACAAGCTGTTGTGCACATAAGTTATTTTAATTTCTGTAGTGACTATAAATTTAGTATAATATAAAGCCAGGTCATAATAATGGAATTTGAGAGCACTAAAAACGGGCCCAGAGTTGGATATAGGTTAGAGTTGAGGCCAGAAATGTAGAAGTTAAGAGTTGAGTTGGAAAAACTAGAAAGGAATATTTAAATTGGGTTGGTTTGTTAATCATTCATGTTGCCAGTTTGAGAATTTTATTCCAATATCTTTATACTTTTTTTCCACCAGAGTAATACATGATATAATTTTTTTTTAAGTTGCATAGAGAGCTTATAATGAAAACAGCATTCTCTTATTTTCCTTCTCCCCACCTCCCAATTCTACTTCCTGGTGACCCCATATTTTATGTATTCTGGTTTTATTTTGAGCCTTTGTATCACTAAATAATATGCTTCTTTCCTATGTGTTCATTTGTCAACTTTATTCATTTTATTTTGATTTCCTACAATCATAGTTAGGATTTAGTACATACCTTATCGTGCTCATTTCTTCTCTCAGATTCAGTGTGTGGCTATTTGTTACTGTAGACAGTATTACTCCATTTCCAGTTCTATCAAAGGTAGACAGTGTCTTTGTATTATTTTAGGAAAAGAATCTTGAAACTCTTGTGCTTTACTTTCCCTATTTCTCCACTCCATCCCCAACTTAGCTACAGTTTTACTTGTAACATTAACATTATGTTCTGTAATCATAGTTTACCTTCTGTAGTTTAAGTTGGTTCTAAAACTTTATAGCAAAAATTTTCCTTATTATGGCTATAAACAGTATTTAGTCCTATGATTGTAATTTCTAATTTGTTTTATTTTTACAACCCTGTTTCACTTAATAGAAGAAACTTGAGGCACAAGTTAAAAGTGTTTTCTCTCTTTTGACACATACCTACCATTTACTTAGCTGTGATGTCTTTTACCAGGATTGTGCCTTTCTTGCAGTTTTATATTTCCTGAAGTCTTTCATTGCTTTTTTTTTTTTTAATCTCGGTGCTTTGATTATATTTTAAGATTTTTTCCAAGCTCCCAATCTGTCTGTTGTCTGATCCTCTTTTCCTGAACATCTTGCTCCTGGAGGCTACTTTCCTTCCTTCTATTCCAATCTAAGTTCATTGCCTCTGGGCCTGCTGCATGTCTGCTGACCTGGCCTTTCATGTCTCCTGGGTTTGGATCTGCTGTTTACAGAATCCCATGATTTCTTTCTTGGTTTATTATTTGTTTATTTTTGCCAAAATATATCTTCATGTAGCATTCTAAGAAGAGGTATGTAGGATGTAAGCTCCTTCAGGCCTTGAATGTCAAAAAAAATCTATATTCTGCCTTAATAGTTTAGCTGGGTGCAGAATTCTACATTAATAGTCATTTGCCCTTGAATTTTGAAGACATCGTGTTGTCTTCTAGGCACTAGCATTATAAATAAGAGTCTGATTTTTCATTTAGTTGTGTGTAGGTGACCTGTTTTTCTTCAAAAGATCTTGTCGAGGTGGTGTGGGGTGTGAAATGCTGTAAATATGTCTCTCTGTGTGGTTCTTTCAATCTGCTTTGCACTGTGTAGGCCCTTTGAATTTGAAAATGTGTGCCTCCTTTTAAGAGTGGGAAATTTTATTTCTTAATTTCTTCTACTTTTTTCTTTAGAATTCTTTCTAGTTCAGTATTGGACCTCTTAGATTTATCTTCTCTTTTATAGTTTTCATATCTTTATCTTGTCTTTATCCCTCAACTTCAACCAATTTGAACTTGATTTGACCTGAATTTTAAAAAATTAACTTGTTTACATAGACTTAGCCACTGGATATTTAATTGAATTGGTATAGTCCAGTCTGGTCACCTACATCACATAAAAGTCAGTTTTTCTAAGGATATTCGAAGTTGAAAGAGAATTTCCCAGATGGGTCTAAGATAACTACCTAGAGACTCTTTATTCTGAACAACAAGTGATCAGCTGCACTAGCCTTTGACCCTCTGGGAATTGGAACTGGATCATCATTCTTCTGATGCATTTAGTGGAAGATATGGTTCCAGCCCAGATGATGTGTAAGTAAGGACCTGGCTATTCAGAGCAGAATTAGGTTAGACAGCCCTAGGGATATATATGGTCAATTGCTAAATACACTAATGTCTTTTTCATATGGTTCCTCAGAAGGGTGACTTTAAAATTTATTGTTCATACTAAGATACTTAGAGTAAAAGTGAGTGCTGTTTATATTTGTACTAGGAAAGTAGGACGAAACCAGAATATATGGTCATTCTTTCCTGAGTTTCATAGATTTTTAAGGATAAGAGGCAGAATAAGTCAAATTGCCAGCCTAGTTAGCTTGTTTAATACACGTTTCACAGAACTGGTGTATTTATATTTTAAATATAATTCTTTTTCTCAGTTCTAGGAATTTTGAAGAAGTATAATGTTAATAGGCATTTTTTCTTAGGGATGTGGAATTATCTGTATAAAACACCAATCCCAGCCCAGTTTTCCATTATTACAATATAAACTTTTCCTGTTTTATAATTGCATATATTTAGAAAAATGAAAGCTTAATTTTAATTTCAAAATATGGAAAACCTCATCCAAATAGAAACTATAAGGGTTACTTTGGACTCTGTTCTGTTTTGGTTTTTTTGGTTTGTTTTTTCTTTTTCTTTTTCTTTTTCTTTTTCTTTTTTTTATTGGGCTGAAATCTGCCACCCTTCCATCCATTGGTTCTACTTCTGTTCTCTGGAGCAGCATGGAGTTTTTTCTGTTAGAACGCAGCTATCATCTGTAGTCACCTTTTCTAGGCTGAATGTCCCCAGGTCTTCTACTTTTTATATGAACTAGTACCCATATTTGTAAGCTTCATATTTATGATTCTCTTTGAGTAATTCCTAATAATCAGGGATTTCCATAATACAGTTAAAACACAATGGCCCTAAAATTTAATTCTGTGTGGTATTTCTATGGTATTGTGCACACTAGTGAAGAATACCCTATACTATAACTCATGAATCATACATTATAGTTTACTAGTGCATCTTGAGCTTATGTCAGGTATTTTTTTTCTTAGCTATTCTTAACTGTTAACTCATATTAAAACTTACAGTCAGCTAAAACCTGTCAGCTAAGTAACTGTTGGAGTGCTCCTTTTTTAGAAGGCATTTCTGTCTTGGTAATAGCTTTAGCAATTTAATTATGAGTGTATTACTCAGAAATCCTAGAACAACAGATACACTTTCATATGCTAACGTTGTTAGGCCTTGGTTTTATGTGATATAGGCTCTCAATTTAAAAGTAAAAAAAAAAATTTTAAGAATTTTATCTGGAATTTTTATTTGATTTACAGTTTTGGAAAATGTTTTTGCCTCTGAGGTTTAAATGGTTATGATCGAAGAGCATCTGACTTAGGTCTCCTTTTGTAACATGTGCTACATTTTTAAGAGAAAATAATGCGTGTAATGAAATGCCTATAATCTGGAAAATTTATTAATAGATATTTCATTGTAGGTTTTGTACCCTAAAACAGAATTTCTTAACCTCTTCACTATACACATTCTTTGGATAATTCTTGGTTGTGGATAGCTGTCCTGTGCATTGTAAGATATGTAACAGCATCATTGGCCTCTACCCACTAGATACTAGTAGCACACATCACCACCACCTTCTCTGCAGTTTGACCATCATTATTTCCAGATACCGCCAAAAGTCCCCTGGGGGAGTGGGGGGGGTGAAATCTTCCCCAGTTGAGAACCACTGCTCTAGAGTATCAGAAGTATTTCTTAAATCAACTGGGTAATAGTTTCTACGTTAAATGTTTTTCTTTATTGGAGTTAGACTGCAGTATTTTTTCTTAATATCTCTTTGTAGAGATTTTTTTTTTAACTGTAGAGCATAATAAAGAACTTCATGTACAACAAATATTTTTAAGACTTTTGAGTTTGATCATTTTTTTTCTTCCTAATACTGCTTCTTATCTCTGTTTGTCATCCCTTCTTTGTGGTATGTATAATCTGAAACATAATGTGTGACTATTTCATGTATTGAGATTAAGGAATGAAAATTATATAATAACTATGGTATGATTAGGAGGTTTATTAAGTTCAAATAAAATACTTGGTCTTTTGTAGTCTGTGATTAAATTACTTGAAACATGCTTTTTTAAAAAAAATTATTTAAGTTGATTACACTCCTAGATTTTAAAATTAAATTGTATTGTGTTTATTCTTCTACTCCACAATATAGCCAGCAGCCAGCTTCGGGTGTAGCCTATTCTCATCCAACTACAGTTGCTAGCTACACTGTCCATCAGGCTCCAGTAGCTGCTCACACAGTTACTGCTGCCTATGCACCAGCAGCTGCCACAGTTGCAGTTGCCAGACCTGCTCCAGTAGCTGTTGCAGCTGCTGCAACAGCTGCTGCTTATGGAGGCTACCCCACTGCACACACAGCAACGGATTATGGTTATACCCAGAGGCAACAAGAAGCACCACCACCACCACCCCCAGCTACTACACAGAACTACCAGGTAAGAAAACTATTAGTTTCAATAGCCTTAATACACAGACTTCAGTGTCCTCAATGTATGATATAATGTCCAAACCAGAGCTTCTGAAACTTGGGTCTTCTAAAATATACCTGAAATGATAGAGAAAAGTGAATGTGTATTCTTAAGAAATTTAAGGGTATAGTCCAAGCATTAAGTTTCCTTGCTGTGAGTTGTATGTTAATAACTTCTCTCAGTCCATTCCACTCCATTTTATAATTGTTTGCTTTAATTAAAAAAAACCAAAAACTTACATTGATTACTGGTTTAAACATTTTAATTTTACCGCAGGTTTTTGAGAAAACTTAAGATATAGGGGAAAATGCCCCTTGTTTGTACTGTGGCATTTGTCCACTTGGAACACACCCGTGTCTCCTTTTTTGAGAACCATGAGCCTTAAGTTATATAGGACAGACAAATTATAGTATCTTCCTGAAACTTATCAAAGGTGAAAATTCTGTTGCCTATACATTCTTCCCCCAGGGTGTTCTTAGTATGTAACCGAAATTGATCTTGCTAGATAGTTAGTTTTTGTTCATCCTTATGGGGACATGAAGATCTAATTATCTTTATAGTATTTGTGTTTATTGTGGTACTTAATTACTGCTTAATTAAATTTGGTCCTAATTTCTTTAACCTTTTTTGTTCGTTTGCTTTTAGTATGTTTTTTAAACTTTGATACTTCTGGACTTTACCTAGTTTTTCTATATTCTTTCTAAAGTATAGGCATTTGTTAAGAAATTGACATTTGAATCAACAATATTAGTATTTGCTATTAATATTTGGCAAGTTACTGAACTCGGAATTCCTTTTGACGTGTGATTATTTTCATTGTTTTTTAATAGGGTGTATGAAGCCCATCATTTTCTGGGTCCTGCCTATTTCTTTAGCCTTTCTACCCTCCTGCCTTCCCATCCTTCCTCATTTTATGCAGTGTCAAAATTCACCCAGCTCACCTTGATCTTCACTGTCTTGGAGATTTTTATATATAGTGTTTCTTCTCCCTGGAACCTCCATTCCCCTTCCATCTGGAAGGTTCTTCTCATTTCTTAATGGTAGTAGAAAATAAGGATGAAGAAAAAGAAAGCTGGAGCAATCAACAAAGCTTAGAATACCTAGGTGTCCTTTACTATGGAGTCCATCTTTTAAAAAAACTGCCATGAATTTTTTAATAATAAAAATATTTTATGATGTTTTGATTTTTCTGATTGTAAAAGTTAAACACTGCTTGAAATTGTTTTGACTTTATTTAATGAAGTTGAAAATGAATTCCCTTTGTATTGAATTTGACTCATGTCTTAGTCTAGGTATATATTTAGTGGGATTTTTTGTTATTGTTGTTTTTTAAGGTCATTATTTTTATTTTTATTTTTTTACCCCCTCTTTAAATCCCCCTCCCCCCACCCCCAACCCATGAATGCTGCTGTTTTCCCCCTAAGAACTGTATCTCTGAAGGTGGGGTGTCTCCCCCTACACGCTTAGAGCCTGGCGCACCCGGGGTATGGTCCGCAGCTCCACCTGGGGCGTGAACCCAGGACTTTCTACGTGTAAAGCAGACGTGCCAACCACTACACTATGGAGCTACCCTATACTTAGTTTTTTGTTTTTCTCTATTACACATTTATATGGTAAAGATGGGGGGATGCGGATTCCTGCCTCTTCACTCATAGCAAGATTTTCTTTCATTCTCTTTCCTTAGGACTCGTACTCATATGTAAGATCCACAGCTCCTGCTGTAGCTTATGATAGTAAGCAGTACTACCAACAGCCAACAGCAACTGCTGCTGCTGTAGCTGCTGCTGCCCAGCCTCAGCCTTCTGTTGCTGAAACCTACTATCAGACAGGTGGGTTTTGTTAAATATACACAGTTTCATTGTATACTATTGAAATATATTATTCATGGTGTTTTTAAATAAAGATAATGTTTTTGAGTCCATCTAAACATTGTGTTATATTACTTTGAGAGGCAGGTTCTAGCCATGTCCTTTTCTTCCTCTGCTAGAATGCGTTTGAGTCCCAAAGAGAAGACCATGGAAACAATTCATAAACATGCTCTTCTCTCTTAGAAGTGTATTCATTTTGGGTCTTTAGCTTATAGTTTCTCCCTGTTGAAATAAGCTGTACAAAAGAAGTTGTGATAACTTTTGGCTGCCTTCGTATCTTTTCCAGAAATTCCCAGAACATAACTGCTGACTGCCTCTGTCACCAGTGGAGACCCTTTGTAGGCCCATATTTTTCGATCATCTTCCTCTGATCTGTAATGACAGTTGGTTCTGTAACCAGCCACTGATATTATAGTTCATTTAAATGCAGGAAGTGTTTTGTTTTCACACAATCCTACATATTACATTTGTAATCTTTAAAGTATGGATTTTTTTTCATGGAGATTTAATTGAGAATTTTTAAAACAAAGTTCTCTGGGTTTTGAAAAGTTGGCAGCTCCTTTATTTTAATTATTTTTGAAGAACCATCAAAAGTGTGAGTAGAGCCTTGGATTAGGAAAGAGTAGAATTGGCTTCTAGTATTGGCTTTACCATTAATGCGGGCAAGTGATTTTTACCTCTTTTCATCTCTGTTCTCTTATTTGTGAGTTAGTTGACCCAGAACTCTCTCGGGTACTTCTAAGATTTTATGCATTTTTTAAAAGTGGTTTAAAAATATTTTGAATTATAATGACCCTCACTTTTCTTATAGTCTACTCTCTAATGATTTGTGAGTGCAGCAATCTCTGGTGAACTTGCTAGTTAATTAAGTTACATTGTCTTAAAAGTACTGAATTATGTAAGAGTCGGATGACCTTGATTTAGTCTAAGTTCTGAAATTGACTGTGACTTGGTAAGTCATTTAGCTCTTGGACATTAGTTCCTTTTTTAAAAATGTCCTCATCTCTGTATTGTGTGGGTCAGATTTCATAGTTTTATAAACTCTTAAGTGCTGTTTATTTAAGCTACCTTAATTAAGCATAAAATGAGTTTGCCCCCTGATATTTGGACCTTTCTCAGTGATTGATGATTAGTGATTGATAATAAGGCTCATAAGATTTTTAAAGTACACATTTGTTTTGAATGTGGTCAAAGGCAGCAGAAAGTTTTGCAGAACTTTTAGGTAGCCCTTTAAGAAGAGCTGCACTCAAGTTATTGATATTTGAAGAATTAAGTCCGTAGCACCTTGTAAGTTGTAATCATATTGAAGTTCACTATGGATAAACCAGTAAAATGAGATTACGGGTATATGAACAAGTTCCATATAATGAAACATTGAAATTTTTACTGTGAATTGAAGTACATGCTTCAAGGCACTCTCTCTTCAGTTTCCAACATTAAGGATAACTGTCAAGTAGCTTGACTAGCCTAATAGACATACACACACTCCTTTTCCAAAAACTTTGTTTGTTAATACCATTTTAAAGTAGTACTGGTATTTTAGTTGTAAATATTTACAAAATACCATTTTGGAAATAATGTGGAAAGCATCTGGGATGGGACAGTAAAATAATTTCTATAAATGTTACATTTTGTTCATTTGGTAATAAGAATTTTACCCCTTTTGCCAAGAAGAAATTACTAGCATCAGATTTACAGTTAATGTTTACACCTATTTTTTCTAGTTATCCAGGATATTGGCCTAATAGTTACACCTTGGAGATATTGTGGGCTTGGTTCCATACCACCGCAGTGAAGTGAGTACTGTAAATGGTTCATTCTTCTAATTTTCTGTTGTCTCTTTCCCAATTTAGCCCCCAAAGCAGGTTATAGCCAAGGTGCAACTCAGTATACACAAGCCCAGCAAACTCGACAAGTGACAGCCATAAAACCAGCCACACCAAGTCCAGCTACCACTACTTTCTCCATTTATCCTGTATCTTCCACCGTACAGCCAGTAGCAGCTGCAGCTACTGTGGTGCCATCCTATACCCAGAGTGCTACTTACAGTACCACGGCAGTTACTTATTCTGGTAAGACAGATAAACAGTGTTTAAATGAATGAAGAAATTAAAAAGAACTTACTAGAAACTATCTTGATTTTCTGTAGAATAATCTTACTCCCAGTAGCAAGAATTGAATTAATTGATAGACCTTAAATAAATATATGTGCCCAATGTGACAAATGGATCATACTCCTAAGTTGTGTGGTTTGGGGTTTTTTTTTTTAGGAGTTTTGCAGAACATGAAATGCTCTTTGGGCATTTGAAAGCTAGTCATGAGTCTTGGGCTTAGCATTACAATTAGAGAAAATAACACTTAGTATTCTACTGGTATTCTGTTTCTTTTCTGACTTTTCCAAATGAATCTGAAAACTCAAAGTTAACAGGGGAATACCATTGATGAATTATATTGTTTATTTTAGCCCTCAAAGAGCTATTTCTTCATATTTATTATCAGGAATAAGTAGTCTTGAAAATATCAGGTAGCATTTGTAAACATCTATAAGATAATGGTTATATAACACAGCTGAGAGGGATAGAGTAGTTTTATTTTTCTTAAATGATCATATTTTTATTTTTTTGTAGATACTTAGTCTTGTACTACTTTGTGGTTTGTTGTTTTACATTTTACTTATTTCTTAATACCTTATCTTGTTACATGAAGGATTTAAGGTGACATGGTCAATTTCAGTTCTTAACCCCTTGATATACTTAGTTGTAGCTTGGGTGTTAGAAGCCCAGCTACTGAATTTAAAAATATTTTTTAATTTCTCAAGATTTTTTTTATCCCTTACCCTGTACCAGATGCTATGCTGGGTGAGTGGTAGGGATACAGTGGTGAATTAGGCAGGCATGGTGTGTTTGGAAACAAGAGTTCATTGTGTCTAGAATATAGGATGTATGGAATAAATATCAGATGAGGCAGGAAATATCAGTGTGAAAAAAAACCTTACAGGCTCCGCTATGCTGTCTGTCTTTATCATGTAGGCAGAAGGAGTACCGAGAGATCTTAAAGACAGGGAGCAATGGGAACAGATTTGTAAGTTAACTGTGACAACCACATGGAAATGAATTGGAGTGAAGAGATATTATTCCTAGATCTGTCGTTCAGAATTGCCCAGATACAGCATTTCTGCCTCTCTTTATCCGATTAACCAGTTATAATTGTAATGGAATTATTTTAATGAAATCTGAGTGGAATGCATTTTTTCTAAATGTCCACATTAGCTTCCAAATAAGGAGTACAATAGTATCCCTTCCTTTATGTACTGCTTTATTACGTAAATAGTACATTCCTATTTTAAAACTAGAAAATACAGAGAAAAATGTTAAATCACTGGACATCTACCCCTAGACCCTAACTGCTGTGTTAACATTTTAGTGCATGTCTTTCTATACATTTTTCCATGGAATTATGGTTTCTTTACAAAAACGAATTTACCTGATACATGATATCATGTAAACTATTTTATTCTTACTGTGAATGTCCTTTCATGTCACTAAATAAAGAGCTATCATTCCTTTGTTTTCCTCCAACTTTTTATTATAGAAAATTTTAATTCTACAGAATAGTTGAAAAAATAATACAAATGCCATATAGCAGTACTTAGATTCACCAGTTATGAATATTTCGTTGCATTTGCTTTCTCCTCTTAAAACGTATTTTCAAATGGGTCAACAATACACAAAAGTTGCAGATGACATGGTGGGTTTTTTGGCCCAGAATTTTTCAGCATTATTTCCTAAGGGCATTCTTTTACATAGCCACAATGCAAATATTATAAAAAGGAATCAAACATGAATATTATCTAATAAATTTCTCCAATTTTCCACAAGTGTCTTTTGTGGCTAGGCTTTCTGTGTGTTTGTGCTTTATTTTAAATTCAGGATCCAATTAGGGATCACTGATTGTGTTTGGTTGTCATGTCTTGTTGGTTTCAGTTTCCTTTAATATAGAATGATCCCCCCCTTTTTTTAATCTTCTCATGACCTTGACATTTTTTAAGAGTTCAGGCCAATTGTAGAATATCCCACAATCTGGATTTATCTGATTTCTTTACATGCTAAGATTATGGTAGCTTTTTAGTCAATAAAACTATGTGAACTTTTCTTTTTATGATATCAGGAGCACATAAGAAATAATGTCAGTTTATTCCTTATTGATGATTTCAAGTATAATTACTGGTTAAAGTGGTGACTACCAGACCTCTTCCTTATAAAGATAGCCTCTTCCCTTTGTAATTAACCAAGTAATTTGTGAGCTTGTTACCCACAGATTGACTTTGACTCTATAATGTTAGATCCTTTGAAAATCTCTTAACGGAATCAAGTTTTAAAGTGAAGTTTGCAGAATCCTTTTATGTTGATTCTTAGGCATTTTTCTCAAGAAGAGTGTCCGTTTCCTCCCCCCGCCACCCCATTGGTATTACTGGACTTGTTCTTTTTTATTCAATGTAGTATGATTCATTACTCTCCCTTTTTTACTTTTTGAGGTACACATTGTCCCAAATTTGGCCATTGGGATCCTTTTCAAACCAGCTCCTGAGTCTTGGCCTTGGTGTCATTAATCCTTTGAACACTTCTTTCCTTTCTAGCACATTTAAGATATTACAGATATGCTTAGATATTTTCCTGCCCTAGCTTCACAGTTAGCCATCTTACAAAAGATCTTTGGTTTCATACATGGTAGTAGTATTTATAAACCAAGATCTCTGTTTCAATATACATATTTTTAATGGCTGTATAATATTTTATTGTATGGATGTAATATATTTTCAAATTTCTGTTTGGGGACACATTTCATATTAGGGAAAAACTAGAAACAACACTGGGTAAAGTAATTCTTGTACGTAAAGATTTGTATATTTGCCAATTTTTTTCACTAGGATAAATTCCTATATCTGGAACTGTTAGGTCAAAGAGTATGCACTTTTTAAAGAATATGTGATACACTGTGTGAAATTACCATTGAGAGATCATATTTAGGGCCTCTGAGTTCTCTGCAGTTTTATATCAGCTACAACTTAGATCAGCTATTTTTATCATTAAAATGAGTTCTAGAATATTGGTACCTACTAAACAGTGACTTGTAGCATGATGAATTTACTACTGAAGTGACATTTTTATTTCTGATAATGTACAATTAAAAATTATATTTCTACTGTTAAAATTATGTACCTTACTAATAATTGAGAAACATTTTTAATAGAAGTACTTTTAAGCAAAACTGTTTTAGCGTTCAAAAATCGAGCTTTTATACTTAAATTAGATACACAATCGTATATACGTTTTCCCATAATGCTTTTACAAATGTATGTTTGTTTGCTCGTAGTAATAGATTTAAACATGTTCTTTAAATCTTTAGCCCACCTTTCAGTGCATGCTTTGACATTTAAAAAACTAAGTAGTAAGCTGTAATTAAATTTGCTTTTTTACTGGTTTTATTAGACTGTGTGCAAATGGAGGAGATTATTTTGTCAATATTAAGCTTAACCTGGTGATTTTTGTGGTTTAAATAACTCACTGTTTAAAGGACTTCACAATCTCTTAGCCTCAGTTTTCTTATCTGTAAAGTAAGGTTTGTAATACCTGCCCTAAAGCTTTGTTCTGAGACTTCACTGTGTTTGGAATACTGCCTCCCATATTATAGATTCTCATTTAAAAAAAAAAAAAAATGAAAATTTCTGGTCATCCAGCATTGTAGAATGCTTTTGGTCTTATTCTACTTTTATTTTCTTGATATATTTAAGTGTCATTTTTAGTTTCTGTACATAACAACTAGTCATTCAGAAAATGTTTGTTTTAAAGATTTCATATAAAACTCATGGTCCTAAATGGTAATGATATAAAAATAGCTTTATTATTTTAATTAGACAACTTTATGGTGTTTTAAGAGCAAAATTTAAACCATACATGTTTCTGTCTATAAATTTGAAAGCATTTGGCTGTGAGCTTGACTTGGTTCTTTTATCACATTCTTCAATAATAGAGGACATTGATAGAATTGATCAATAAACAGTTTATTGATCTATAGTTTTTCTTTTAACTACTTATATCAGTTGTTTCCTAATTGTCTTTTCTCTGAACATATATTTATTATTGGAATGTTTATCTACTTCTTCCTACTTTGATTTTTAGATGTTTTCTTACCATACTTTCTTTGTATCTTCATAAGAATTTACATAATTTAATAACCTGCCGTAAAAGTCTAGGAAAGCTTTTTGTGGAAGTTGCTCAGTTTCTCTCCTGGATATGTTTAGTTTCAGATGCCTACAATTGTGATTTCACATGCTCTTAACTCTCACCTTTACAATTCATGTTTTCTTTCTTCTGTGTGTGGATGCATTGAAGTCAGTGGGTCATAAGTCTTTACTTTTCAATATAGCAGTCTACACTCGAGAGACTAAAGTTTAGTTTTCCTTAACTAGTTCTTCTTTGCTCTCCTGGCAACCAGGAATCTCTCTTGAACCTTAGCATGACTCTTTGCTCACTCATTTCCACTTCAGGGAAAAAAGAAATCTTACTAGAACATGATAGAGAGTCCATGAAATTTCTAGAAACCTTAGTTTGGAAAGGGTAAAGTTTTCCAGTTTCGAGTTATACTCATAAATAAAATCAACTACTTTGTCAAATTTAAAACTTTTCTAGATCTCTAAGCCTATAAATCACTGGACATAAACAACATGTACATATTATGTTAATACCTAGCTTAATGTGCTTGTTCATTAGAGACTTTAAACAATGGAAATGGATAGAATCCATACATTTAACCAGAAAATATAGTGCTTTTTCATCTTCTGGAAACTGAAACCCGGTGTATTTGGTTCTTAATTCCAAAACCTTTTATCTGTTGTCCTATATATTCATCTGAACCCCAGCTCCATATTATGGACTTCTGCTAAGCTTTATTCACTTTGCCTCTCCAAACCAGCTTCTACCAGCTCCTTGTTTTTTTCAGATGCACAACCCATCAGTCACTCTCTGGAATTCTAAATCTTGGTGTCATTTTTGTGTGTTTTCCTCTTCTTTCGTATCTTTTATCCTCTTAGCCACTAAGCATGTGAAATTTCAATTTCGTGAGTTTCTTATTTTTTTCTATCTAGTATCCCAGTTCAGACCCTTCCTCAAGTCCAACACTTCACAATTGTACTTAGAGGAATTCTGTTTGGGGAAATATTAACAGGTTCTGTAGCCACATAAATTTACCAAATATTCTATTACATCCTTCCAAATGAACTATAAGCTTCTTGAAGACAAGGACTAAATCTTATAGTTTCTTTATACCTCCATACCACCTGGCATATGTTAAATAAAATACTTGTTGACTTGTATAAAAGGAAAATAAATAATATGTTTTCTGGGTTTTGTAAGATACACATTATTTGTAAATATGCATGTATAAACCTACCTTTTTTTAGCAGAATTTATTGAATTTAAATTTACAGCATTTAACTTGGCCTTTTTAACATAATCTTTGTTTGATTTTATTTATAAGGTACATCTTATTCAGGTTATGAAGCAGCAGTGTATTCAGCTGCATCCTCCTACTACCAACAGCAGCAGCAGCAACAGAAGCAGGCAGCAGCAGCAGCTGCTGCTGCTGCTGCAACAGCTGCCTGGACAGGGACCACCTTTACTAAAAAAGCACCATTCCAAAATAAACAACTGAAACCAAAACAGCCTCCCAAACCACCCCAGATTCACTATTGTGATGTTTGTAAGATCAGCTGTGCTGGACCACAGGTACTTATGTTGTATGTTTTACCACGAGTCTTCAGTGGTTAACTTTGATAGTTAAGTATGGTTGATATTCTAAGTCTTGTGCCTGCAAAGTTTTACATTTTCTTTCCTGTTACCTTTTAGCTATAACATATACATATTTTGCTAAATGGCTATTTTTAAAAAGATAAGAATTCTGTTAAGAGGAAACTGTAAAAGTGATTATGAATATAAATGAAAAATGGGCGAATTGAGCTTTTTTTTTTCAGGAATGATACTTTGCTCTTCAGATAAAACAAATTTAGCTTAAAGATTTTATATTCAAATTAATTGGGATTTGGGGAAAAGATTGAATTTTTATTTCTTTTTTATCACCCACAACTTGCTTTGTAAAGCTTTTATACAAAATTCTTCAACTTAAGACAGTTTATTGATTTCCTTAGCTCTTTTTTTCAAGGTCCATTTTGGGGGTATGAATAGAATTTTACAGCTGAAAAAGGATGATCACAGAGAGATAATTCAGTTTACACACTTACATTAATGATAAGAGGACTTTGTCAGATGTATTATATTTTGGAACATGAATAGGAGAAGGCATTGTCTTTCTGGAATTTAAAAAATTCTTAAGGGGTTTTTTTAAATCAATTTTTGGAATAACATTTCCAGTGAGACTGGCTTTTGTATATGCTTTATAGAATGTTACTTATTTCTTTATAATCTCCATGAGAGAATAGGAATTTGGGGAGCAAGAAAGGCATAGGGAAGTGTCTTTTTCAAAAATATCAACTTGAGCATGTAGAATCTTTGTTCTTTTTTTTCTTTTTTCTTTTTTCTTAGTTGCTACACCTTAAAATAAGTGATTTAGGCACAAGTCTGTTTATTATAATGAGTTCAACTCTCTTCCCAGCTTTGTTATTTCTTTTTTTAAGAGCATCTAGTTTTTATATAAAAATTTGATAAGCAGTTTGGCAAATAAAAGGCATATTATTTGAAAAGACCAGATTTCGACTCTGTAGTAGTTTCTTCCAGTTTTTATCTGTCTTCCACCCCTGCCCCATATGTGTATATTCTTTTTAATTTGCTAAATTAGTTCTACTTTTTAATACTGAATTTTGGGGGTGTTTTTAGTTAACCAGCATTCCCTGAATTACATAAAATTATTGTATGTAGTTAGTTACATAAAACTTTTTTTGTCCCTATTTTGAGTGTGATAGGAAGTAGTTCCATTGTCATTACATGACTGGAGGAGGAGGGAGGGGGGAATATTTATAGTGACTGGAATTAAACATAAAAGGGAACAAGGATGTTGGTCTTAGTATTTGAGGAGTATATCCTGTTCTCCTGATGGCCGTTTAGAGAGGATGGTGCTGTAAGTGGCAAATATAACCTAGAGATTTATTGAATATATGGTACTCATTTAGAAGGGTAGAACATTGCTCTAGGGTGATAGGTTAATAGCAGCATTTAGAATGAGTAGGTGTATAAGGCTGACCATTGATTTGGGGTGTCTGGATGGTTACACAAGAACAGGCCAGGGGAACTTCTGCAAGTCAGAGGCAGTGCCTTAAGGGGTTAGTGAGCCTTAGAGAAAAATATCATTGAGATTGTGAATTAAGAGTCTAGGTGTAAATGTAAGGAGAGAGAGTACTTCAGTTCAGATTTAAGGGTGTCATGGTTCTAGTCCAGTTACTTTATTGGTATTAAGGCTATATATGAAAGTCCATTGTAAGTCAGAGTGTTAGACAAATGTATTCTTGGTAAACAGGGTAAAGGCCCTTGGGCAAGTCAAAGACCTTAACTTCTTTGGGCTTTTGTTTCCTCACTTTTATAATTGGGACTTGTCCTAAATAATTGAGGCTTAAAGTGCTTCACGGAGCTGCTTCGGGCTGCCACAGAAAAGGAGAGAAGAACCAAATGGGTCTTAGGTCTCCCTCTTTGTTTAAAAAGCGGAGCAATTTTCCTTATTCGTGCATAATATCATTTCTAGAAAGGATTTTTCTTGTTTGAGTATATAATTTCACTTTTTTATTGACTAGTATTACAGTATTTTTCCTTGCAATTATGTATAATTTTGGCTAGTATTTTTTAAATAGATACTTGTTTAGGGTGGCAAGAAATTCAATGTGGAGTGCATTCTGAGTTAGAAAAGTCAGTTTTATGAATAAACATACTTATTTGTGAAGAGTCTTGTTATTATACAGTAATTTTTTTTCTCTTCTTGTGCTATAGATATATTTTCCCCCGTCATCTTAGTCCTATAATTAAGTAATTCCCTTATGGCATGATCACTGTGTCTTTTTCTCTATCCAACATACATAAGCAGTAAAGATGCAAACTTTTGAAACCAAAAGCAGTTACTTTATTGATATTAGGGCTATATATGAAAGTCCACTATAAGTCAGAGTGTTAGACAAATGTATTCTTGGTAAACAGGGTAAAGAGAACCACAGATATGTCACATATGTAGGGAGTCCCACATGCTTTTGTTTAGTTAGTTGCTTTTTAAATTGTTTAGTGCTCATTTTTAAATGAGTATTAGAGATTTGAGAGTTGAATAATTTCAAATGTAAATAGAAAATGAATAAAACAAAATTAATTCTTTTGTTTGAAACAGACTTACAAAGAACATTTAGAAGGACAGAAACATAAAAAAAAAGAAGCCGCATTGAAAGCCTCACAAAATACCAGCAGCAGCAGCAACTCTACTCGTGGGACTCAAAATCAGCTCCGTTGTGAGCTCTGCGATGTGTCTTGTACAGGAGCAGATGCATATGCTGCCCACATTCGTGGTGCGAAGCATCAGAAAGTAGGTGTTTTTTTTCCCACGCACCCTTATGTCTTACTTTGTTTTCTTTTACTTTTTTAGTTGGAGCAGCGACGTCTGTGTGGAGAGGTATTAAGTAAAAGTGGCTCCAAAACTTCAAAATTTTGAGTGAATTATAAGCCTTATTTATATGGTAATATACGTAAAAGTGACATTAAATAGTCATTGCTTAAAAGAGGGAAAGACTAGAGACCTTTCTTTAAATTGAACTACATCATTTATTCCACCAATTGGAAATTTGTTGTATGATTATTTTCCTCCTTTTGTCATGTTTAAGTTTAGGTTAGTATACATGTGGCCAAGTCATTTCATCTTTCTCTGCCTTAGTTTCCTCACCTAGTATTAGGTGGAGAGAGAGAGAGAGAGAGCGCGCGCGCGCGCACGCATGTGTGTATGCTTCACAGAGATTCTTTTGAGAGTAATGAGTTTTGTGTGTGAAAATATGGGAAAGGAAAAATACAACAATGTCTTTTAGACAAACTTAAAAATCTATACTCGAGTTTCCTGACAGATGAATGTGCTTTTATTTTGTAGGTGGTTAAATTACACACAAAACTTGGTAAACCCATTCCTTCAACAGAACCAAACGTCGTTAGTCAAGCTACTTCTTCAACAGCTGTGTCTGCTTCAAAACCGACTGCCTCTCCTTCCAGCATTGCAGCAAGCAATTGTACTGTGAACACTTCATCGATTGCAACATCTTCAGTGAAAGGTCTTACAACTCCAGGAAACTCGTCTCTTAATAGCACATCTAACACTAAAGTATCAGCAGTGCCTACAAATATGGCTGCTAAGAAGACATCTACACCCAAAATAAACTTTGTGGGCAAGTACTAAAGATTCTTTATGTTCCTCCTAACTCCAGAAAGTGATAGTTCTCTTCCAGTCCAGGACTAACCCTTCTGCTTGTGCTCTTGTACCTATCTCCTTTCTTCTCTGGGACCTTGTCAAATCACACATCTGTAATTTTTTTTGAATTTTTAATCCTCTAGTCGTTTCTTCCTTCTTCCCTTCAGTCATGAAGGTATACCTTTGTCTTCATAGTCTTCAATTTAAAAAAGACCCTTTTCCATTGCTGTTATCCTCTCAAGCTTCTCACCTAGTTCTTACTTTCTCTGTCTCTATACTTCCTATTTAGTTCTCAGTCTGTTATAGTATTTCCTCTTACCCTTTTCTGAAACTGCTTTCAAGAGTCATTAAAGACCTAATTGCCAAATCTAGTGGCCAGTTTTCAGTTTCATCCTGTTGGTCTCTAACATTTGACACAATTGACTCTTATACCTTAAAGCTTGAGAAATGTCTCTATTACCTGTCTACCCACCCCTTTCTCAGGTTATCTTTATTGGATCACTTGCCTTCATGTTCTAGAGCCACATTTTAGGTATTCCCTCATCATTATCTGTCCAGCTTTGTGGATGCCTACCAGTGTTTCATTCTAACTCAGTATCTCATAACAAGAGTACCATGAAATAATCTCATTAAATTGCTGCTTTCTCACTTGGGAAACTTCACTGTGGCACTACTTCTTCCTTTTTATTGCCTCCAGTTGTCTACCTAGTCCTTTTGTTTCTATCACTACAATATTTTTACCAACAAAAAAATTTCTTCATAGCCACTGCCTTGTTAGGCCTTCATAGTCTCTTCCTCAGAGCTTTGTCTCTCATTGCATCCAGTCTCAACACTCGTCAGTCATTTTGTGAAAATAAGTATCAAATTGGGTTAGTGTCCTGATTTTAAAAATATTCAGTGGCCTTCCCTGTGCATATAGGAAAAAACTCTTTGTTCCTTAGTTATGTCATCCAAGCTCTTCACAATCTGCCCTCTGCCTCATATGTCATCACCTCATAAATCATACTGAATTACTGGGTCTCCCTGAATTTACTATAGTCTTCTTAACTGCATGTTGTTGTTCTTTTTTGTACATACTATTCTTTGTGTTTAGACAGCAGTCTCTCTCTGCTTGGCCAGTTCAATTCATTACTCTTTTTTCAAAGCCCAACTCAAGGGTCATACCCTTAGTAAAGCCTTTCCTAATCAGATCAGGTTAAAGGGTAGTGACTCCTTTGCTTTACATTTCCATAATATTCTGTTCATACTTATTACATTGCTTATTACATTGTATTATAATTACTTGTTGGCACCTCAAAGGCAGCTACACTGTTTTATTATATTACCAGAATGTAGGACAGTTCTTTGGAATTGAAAGAACTAGGAATACAAACGAATTACACTTAGACCCTACCTTTTCAGGTACTTGCTGTTCACTTGTTAAGAGAGGCATGTGGTGATGGAGAGGATCATTGGGTGTAGGATGGTAGAGAAAGGAAAGATCTATTCGTTAATAAGATTAAAAAGCCATGTGGTCTATAGGTTATACACTTATACAAAAAGAAAGTGAAAATTGCTATAATTTTTAATGCTTTTCTAGGTGGTAATAAGCTGCAATCAACAGGAAATAAAACAGAAGATTTAAAAGGAACCGAATGTGTTAAAAGCACTCCTGTCACTTCTGTACAGATTCCAGAAGTAAAGTCAGACACAGTGTCAGAACCAGTCACACCTGCATCTCTTGCTGCTTTGCAGAGTGATGTGCAACCAGTGGGCCATGACTACGTGGAAGAGGTATTGATTTGATAATACCGTTGCCGTGAGGTTAAAGAGTAAAAGTGCCACTTTGTTGTAAGCATGCTTTACATGTAAGATTAAATTGTATTCAATTATATTTTAGATTTAGTTTACTTATGAAGGAAAATCAAAGGGATTGCTTTAAGGGTTTTTAAAAAGCATGCTCTTTAAGTTTGCCTAAGTGATACCACAATTTTTTTTTAACTTATCTCCGTGTTAACATCATCACTGGTGTAAAGTAATTTTCCATTTATTTGGTAGTCATTCCTGTATCTTTCAACTATCCTGAACATAGAAAGTAAAATTGTGAGCAGCAAAAATTTTGATAGCCATATTTCTCTTTCTGACCAATCAATTTCATGTGTAAAATTAAGGTTGCTGATTTAAAAGATTGTTTTTATTTGGTTTCTTAAGCTGATTCGAAAACAATTCCTGTTTTATTAGGTCATGTTCTTTATTTACAAGGTGGAAAACTGGGTTATGTAGTTTATAAATAGTTCACATACAATTTTAATTTAAAATTATAGTTCTTAAAAGATCAAGATTAGGTTATCTAAGAAATGTACACAGCCAGAACACCTTAATCTCCAATGATATTGGTTAATTAAATAATCCTAAACCTCAGATTTTTGCATTCAGAGCCATTCTTTAAAGCTTGTACAATTTGAACTTAATATATTTCATAGACTTCTTAATAACATTCGAGTCTAAACTTGCTTTCATGATTGTGCAGTTAGAAAAAAAATTGCCATGGGTTTTCTTTAGTTAGATATATAAAATCTAATTATCTTTATCTTCATCTCCAACAACGTTACCTAGTATTCAGTAACTATTTGTTAGAGAATTTAAGGTATCTAATTGCATTTAAATGTTTACATATAGACAGAAGTATTAAAATTAAAGTTAATTACAAAAGCAAATACATGCTAACACATCTTGCACACAACAGTTAAAAATTCTAGCAGTTTGTTTCTGTAAATGATACTTTATCAACTCATAACATTCCAATTATTCTTGGATTTTTTTTCCACACCAAGGTACGAAATGATGAAGGAAAAGTAATTCGATTCCATTGTAAATTATGTGAGTGCAGCTTTAATGATCCCAATGCTAAAGAGATGCACTTAAAAGGGCGAAGACACAGACTTCAATATAAAGTGAGTAAAAATTTCAACTATCTTCTTTTTTTTAAAACAACTTGGAACATTCTAGATGCAAAACAAAGCATCTAAACATAACTCACTGAATCCGTGAACTCCCACTCTACGATGAACATGTCATGTCTTGCTTAGATTCAGGTGCTTGGTTTTTGCTGATTAGTTTGTCGTACTTAAGACTATAACCATATTTCATCATTTTCAGTGACTGTAGCAAAATAAAACTGTAACATTCCTTAGATCAAATAATCATGTAAAGAAATGTAAAGTCTCCATTCACCTACTTTATCTTGGTAGAATTCCCACTAAAATGAATTTCGAGATGAAGAATTCTTCATTGAAAACACTTCAAGTGTTCAGTTAAATCTAAATATTGTGTTAATAAGGCTGGACTAATGCACCAGATTCGTGTTTTCTTTTATAAACTCAGAGTTCATAAAAATTGAGTCTGTTAAAGGGCAGTACCTTTCTATGAAAAGAAACTTTTAAATCTCATTTAGAATCATCTGTTTACAAAAAAAAAATACAGGAAAATTAAGTATCCATTAGTCCCCTGAGGATCTCTTCTGTCGGCCAATGTTATATACTTTCTCCATGCTAAGTATTTAATTTTAAACTTGGAAAATTAAGAATTTGGGGGATAGGAGGGAGAAAAGGATGTTTATTAATGTATTCTGAATTTCTCTCTGATTCAACTTACATACTGATTTTACTCTTATATAATAGGAAATTTGCAACTAAAAGCCTCTATGATAAAAGAAATGCATGATTGTATGATTTTATTTTGTCAGTTTTGTTTTTTGGGGTTTTGTTTTGTTTATTATTATTTATATCTATAGCACCTGGTCTTCTTAGATGTTCTCCCATCCAAATACTAACCAGGCTCAACCCTGCTTAGCTTCTGAGATCAGACATTGGGCTTGTTCGGGGTGGCATGACTGTAGATCATGGACTGTGGCTCCACTGGGGCACGAACCCAGGACCTTCTGCGTGTAAAGCAGATGTGCTAACCGCTACACTAAGGAACCGTGTCCGTGATTGTATGATTTTAAAAATGTGTAGATTGTTGGCAGGAGTACTAGTTTTTTAAATGTCTTGTCAACAGAAAAAAGTCAATCCAGATTTGCAAGTGGAAGTAAAGCCCAGTATTCGAGCAAGAAAGATTCAAGAAGAAAAAATGAGGAAACAAATGCAAAAAGAGGAGTATTGGCGAAGACGAGAAGAAGAAGAACGCTGGAGAATGGAAATGAGGTAATATCTTTAACTTTTAGCAGCATAATAGTAAGTGGTTCAGCCTTTCTAAAAAATTAGCTATTGTGAGTATGCATCTTCTATTCAAAGCAGTCCAGATTTATAAAATGTAGTTTTAATATTCGCTTTTCAGAAGATCCCAGGTCTAGAAAAGAAATGCATTAAATTAAGTTATTGGGTGTTCTGGTATTTGATCATGGCTTTGGTATTAGGCATTATGTGGTTAAGTGGTGTTTTATATGTGTTAATTATATGGAGAAATAATTTAATATTATAAATAAATGCCTCAGTTTAAAACAGCAAAATAGAACATTTGGTTCCATGATAAAAATATTCCAAGTATAAGATTTGGTAGATTCTAGACATCTTAGTGTGTTTTTATAAAAAGAAACTTCATTATAGAAATTTTATAGGCTGTAAGGAAGGAGAAATGAGAAAACATAATTTCCAGAGATATGTTCAGTTTTATTGATAATAACTGACAGATGTTCAAATTGTACAATTCACATTCATAGAAGTTGTACAGCATCACCATAATCAATTTTAGAACATTTTCATCACCCCTAAAAGAAACCACGAACCCATTAGCAATCATTGCCTCCATTTTTTCTCCAACCCTTCCCTCTACCCCAAGGCAACTATTAATATACTTTCTGTCTCTGTAGATTTGCCTATTCAAGAGATTTCATATAAATGGAATCATACAATATGTGGTCTTTTGTGTCTGGCTACTTTCACTTGGCATTTTTTCAAGGTTCATGCATGTTATTGTATTTATCAGTACTTTATTCCTTTTTATGGCTGAATAATATTCTATTATAGATGTACCACATTTTGTTCATTCATCAGTTGATGGACATTTGTGTTATTTCTGCTTTGGGGCTATCATAGATACTGCTATCACAAATGCTGCTCCTATGAATATTTGCATACCAGTTTTAAAACATAATTTCAAAAAATATGAACAGAAGCATAATGTACACATACTTTATAACCCACTTTTTTTCATTTACATATCTTAAAATTAAGCCAGGATTTTTTTTTTTTTATGGGAGCATAGTATTTATTCTCTTGTGCAGAGGTAAAATATTCTTTATAACTAGTTCCATGTTGTTAGATATGTAGATTGTTTCCAGTATTTTCCTATTATGACTACATGGGCTATCCTTGAGGCTATAAATCATGATTAGTTGCTAATAACCCCAAAATGGAAGTGTTTGATTTCCATTTTGAAAACTTTTAAGAGCTTTTGTTTATGTAGATTATAACTGTTAAGATTTGCTGTATTAGAAATTAAAACTGAGAAGTTTAAATATTTTTTCATTCATTTTAAAATGACATTTTAACTTAAAATGTAGTTAAACGTAATATATTTAATAGATATAACATGCTAAAAATTAACTTTAACTTTCTGTAAGAATGACATCGTTTTAACATTTTTGCAAATTTCTTTAATGTCTGGCTTAAGAGAAGGCAGCATAGTTCACATATCTGTTTCTATGTTCAGTATGTTATGATAACCACATTTTGCCTCAATCTCCATTGTATGCTCATGAGAGAAAGAGAATGGAAAATTGATATCGTGGAAGTAATTTCGATGTCATGGATCCCCGGAAGGGGTCTCAGGTACCATCCGAGGTCCCTGGACCACACTTTGAGAACCACTGCTGTAACTTATTAAAATCTCTACCAATAAAAGAGTGAAACATGAAAGCCATTTTTGTTTATATGACTAGCAAACTGAGTTTTTATTTCATGCCCGACCACTTATATTTCTTTCATTTTAAATTGCCTGTTTTTACTTAGGTGTTGTTGATTCATGCAGATACAGAACACTTCTTATGTTGTAGCTATTAAGCCATTATTAATGCGTTACTTCTAAACAGTTTTTGCTGTTATTTATGTATCAATTTTTTTAAATGTATGAAAATCTGTTAGTCACATTCTTTATGAAATTTCTGCCTTTGTGGTACGTTGGAAATTCTCTATACCTAGACTGTGCAGTTTTTTTTCTCCAATAAGCAAATATTTATTAAGTACTTACCATTTGCCAGGAAGTAGTAGGCACTGAATGTGAATTGGTGAACAATGCCTTTATTTAACTTTTAAACATCTTTAGTAATAACAGTAAACTATTTGAAACTGGTATGAATGTGGTTTCCCAGAGCCTTCAAGGTATTTTAATTCATTTTCTCTCAAGGCCTAAACAACATAGAAATATTGTTCTGTGCTTCTCCTAAAGTCCTGAATTGGATGACCTAAAAAGCACTACTTATTCCCAACCTGACATAATGGGTAGTTTCTGCAGTGCTGCTTAAGAAGCATACTTCTTAGATTTTGTAGTGAACACATTTGTCTAGTAAAACCTTACTGCTATAAAAATTTGCTTTAGAGATATGATTTCACTTGGGAGTTATTGGTATCCTAGTTTGAAGCTAAAAGTGAGGATAGAACAGAGTGTGAGATGGTGAAAAGTTAAATTCTGAAAATGTTGGCCATTAAAGCAGAGGCTACATACCAGTCCAAGTTCAGCCCATGGGTGTTTTATTTGGTATACATGGCATTTTAAAATTTGAACCAGCATTTAAAAACCAACATTAAAGACATTTAAAAACATTAAAATCCTGATGACCTTCAGATAACAACCTTATGGTAGTAATTAATAGGAGCTAAGTCACAGCTGTTCTCATACTTTCTACTTTACTGTAGTCTCCATCACCCTTAATATGTTGCCAAGATGAGACAGAATGTAAGTTGCCATTAGTCTTGCACTGTTGTTCTCATAGTAGAAAAAATGTCTTTGTCCCTGCCTATATCGTAAAAGGAGAAATTAAAGGTAGTTGTAAGAGGTTTTCTTTAAAGAGAAAAAGAGCACATTTCTTTGGAGACATGAAGAAATTTCTAAATTAATGTGCTTTGGGTATTCCACTCACACACATCATCACTCTGGCCACTTTAGGGCATTTAAGTTAATCTCTCCCTTAAAGAGGGAGATATTGGAAGGAACTCAGGTTTTGGATGCTTGTTATTTCAACTTAGACCTCAAACTGTGAAATTTTGGGTTGCTTTTCTCTTTGTATTCTCACCTTCTCTTTTTACTTGTATTCACTTCCATTTACTTATGGATGAAAACAATAAAGGAAATCAGATGTAGGAGGAAAAAAAGGTATTAGGCTGATTTGGGGCTTTTTTTAACAATGTTTTTTATGTTATTGACGTAAGTTCTTGGGCTGTATTTTTCTTACAGGCTTGTAATGTCATTCTTTGTGTTTCAGACGTTACGAAGAGGACATGTACTGGAGAAGAATGGAGGAAGAACAGCATCATTGGGATGATCGCCGCCGAATGCCTGATGGTGGCTATCCTCATGGTCCCCCAGGTCCATTAGGACTTCTGGGAGTCCGACCAGGCATGCCTCCTCAGCCGCAGGGACCTGCAGTGAGTGTTCACTTTGTTTATAATGGGGCAAAAGTGTAAGCCTGGTTAAGAATTAGAAGATAACAGTTTGGGGGACTAAGATTTAGTAACCTCGCAATCTCAATATAACTTTAATTTGATTTAGAATTTTTCCTTCTATTATTACAGGTGTTTTAGCTCTTGTCTTTATGTATAAGGACTTCATAGAGTTTCCATGAGTCTTTCTTTCTTTTAAATATAAGTTCAATGGGAGTAGAGCTTCTTATAATTCCATTGCCAGTGGTTTCGTATCTTTTCCTTCAGATCCTGACTATCTAAAACCTACTACTAGGATCAGGTGTAATAAGTAAATAGTTCAAGATTTGCACCACAGTTGATAAATTAGGAAAACTGTAGGAAAGGTCTGCATCTTAGAGTTTGTGTTCTGTGGAAGCTGGGTAAAAGAAGAGACACCTTTGGGTGTGAGAACATTTCATAGAAGTTTAGACTGCGAGATAACAAGAGGATATTTGTTTGGTTTTTTAAGAGAGCACTTAGAAAACAGCAAATTTCTCTTTTTTAACCTATTTTGTTTCTCATTTGTCTTTACACAGAACATAAAACATTTTTATTGAAAAGCAAAAAAAGTTTCAGAATCACTGCTTTTTAGAGTTTGAAAAAGTATTTTAATAACTTTTGATGATGCATATTATAATTTTACTTGTTTTAAGGCAAAATATATATATAGACACATACATACACACCCTTGGTAGTATAATTTGCCATAGTTTGCATTTTTCTTTTTATTGAAACAGCAAAAGAGAAGATAGTTTTAAAGGGACATTTTGCATAATTGTTCGTTATTAAAAAGATATGACAAAAATATGTATATTTAAGAAATAATAGTTTACTCTTTTGCTCAGGAAACTTTTTTAAATGACGTAACATTTTTTTCTCTAGCCCTTACGTCGTCCTGACTCATCAGATGACCGTTATGTGATGACAAAACATGCAACCATTTATCCAACTGAAGAGGAATTACAGGCAGTTCAGAAAATCGTTTCCATCACTGAGCGTGCTTTAAAACTTGTTTCAGATAGTTTGTCTGAACATGAGAAGAGCAAGAGCAAAGAGGGAGATGATAAGAAAGAGGGAGGTAAAGACAGGTATGTTTGTTTTCAGTTATATACATAATACATTTTTGCTTTTCCTTACATGGACTTCTTAAACTTGGCAGTAAAAGTTATAAAGACTGAAAACCCTCTTCTGTGAGTCTACATGTCTTATCATGCTTGTATTAGATATATAATGTATTCAACTGCTTTATTTAAATTTATATAAAACTATTTTGTCTGTTTTCAAAGCTGCCTTTGCAGTCTTCTAATTGCATTCAGTTGCTATTCAGTTTTTATTTATTTGTTGCAACTATCCCATGTTCAGTCTTCATTGCAGTGACTTCTTTTTCCTTAATACATTGACCATGAAGCCCAAGCTTTAGTAGTATCTTTCATAAGTTTTACATTGTAATCTATAACTTTTCTTGATCCCTTTATTTGGAAAATTTTTTGTATTAGGAATGGCACTGATTCTGATTTGTAATATGTGACAATGTTTTTTTGCTTTTTTCTTGTCCCTATGAGAACTTAGCTCTTAATTGATTAATTTATCTACATTTCCTATATAAAGGAAGGTTAATTGTAAAATTTTGAATGTTTTATACTGTAATTGATGAAAAATTTAGTAATATGAGAGTTATTTAATTTGCTATTGTGTTTAGAGATTATCGTGGTTCTGGTTAAGAAGAGAAATGTCATAATTTGATTTGATTTTACTGCAGAGCTTTAAAAGGAGTTTTGCGAGTGGGAGTATTGGCAAAAGGATTACTGCTCCGAGGAGATAGAAATGTCAACCTTGTTTTGCTGTGCTCAGAGAAACCTTCCAAGACATTATTAAGCCGTATTGCAGAAAATCTACCCAAACAACTTGCTGTAAGTATTATGGAAATATTCATTTTACCCCTTGTCTGGTTCAAAGTTTTTGGCAGGACTAACTGCACTTCATTTTAAACCTAAGCCAGCCTTTAAATTTTTGGCTTGACTTTGCTTATTGAGTTTTTTCTTGGTTGTGCAAATTGGTAGAGCTATTTTCTGTTTTGTCTTTTTAGGTTTTATAGTGCTTGTATTTGGCATGAAGCCATCTTGCTAATTAAAATGTAAAATTGCATGTCCTCTTTCTGTCCTTTTACAAGATTTGAATCATCAGCAAGAAGACAGTTTGTTCAGAACAGAAAGTGATTTTTTTTTTAATAAAACAAGCATAAATTTTTTAAATTTGTGAACCTTTTGTCTATTTGCTTGAATACATGTTTTTAATAAAGTATACTTACTAAAATATAGTCTTTCTGGTTCAAATTTCCCTGGGTTTATTCTGATTATTTTCAATTTTCTATATCTTATAACAATAGGAATTGCTTCTCCAGTGTCCAGTTAGCAAATCATGACAATGCACAATTAATAAAATATCCCCTTTTGGTCCTACAAAAGCAATTTTTCTTAAATTTGAATTTTAAAAGCTTTTACAAATTAGCTTGTCAGAAACTCTGACTGAGATTTAAGATAAAATCTCTCGCAGTTTAATTAGGCATTCTAAATCCAAGAATTGACATGTCACTGGTAGTGTGTATTCTGTAGTAATGAGTCAGAATAGTACCTGACCACAGCACACCAACTAATAACAAAAGGGATAAGGAAGCACATTATTGAACTTAAGCTCTGACAACTCTGGCACTTACTGTTGTTTGCTTTATGTTACCATTGTTCCAAATAAGTTTCTTGCTGTGGGTGAGTCTTTTTAAGTATTAGAAGCCAGCAGAATTGGCATTATGTGTCTACTTCTTACTCCTTTGAAACAGCTAGGACAATGAGGAGACAGAAGAAGTTTGAGGTCTTTGAAAGAATTGTAAGAAACACCTTGATCCTAATTGTGGTGCTTAGTAAAACTACAAGGCAGGAAATATTATATCTTAACTAAGTAGTTAACAGGTAATTAAGGTAAAAGCAGAATATTTTTTCCAGATCAGTCATATTTAATTGTACAAGTGGCTAAGCAAGAGAAATAGAATTCTTCATCATCATCGTTGTCATAGTTAACATTTATATTGTGTTTCCTATGTACTATAGGTACTGTTTTAATTGCTTTTTATAATTAATTCACTTAATCCTCCAACAGTCCTATAGATTAGATAGAATTACTCTCCCCATTTTCTAGAAATGGGTTTAGGAGAATTCAAAGAATTCTGAAAAGAAAGTGGAACAAGAGTTTAATGATATTTGCATTAAAGTAGTGAGAAAAATGAAAGAGCCATAATGAAACTGCCTTGTCTGATAATGTAAAAGGTCCAACTAAATTTCTTGTGCTCTTCCTTATGTAGGTTATAAGTCCCGAGAAGTATGACATAAAGTGTGCTGTGTCCGAAGCGGCAATAATTTTGAATTCGTGTGTGGAACCCAAAATGCAAGTCACTATCACCCTGACATCTCCAATTATTCGAGAAGAGAACATGAGGGAAGGAGGTTGGAAAGCCATTAAACATTCTACCTTTCTTTCTATTAACTTTTTTTTTTTCACTTATCTACTCTTTAAGATGGCATTAAGCCCTAGAAGGCAACATGCTGGCATTACATATGAATTTGGTAGACTTGACTTACGTAGCAAACAGTTTTGCTTTAGATCATTTCCCAGCAAGTAAATGCTCTTTTTAGTAATGTATTTTTATATAAAACACTCATGGTATTATTGATTTTCTTGATTTTTTTTTTTTCTTTTCTTGCTAACCTCAGATTTCTGGAAAAAAAGTCAAAATAATTCTTACTGGCATAGTTGACACATGAAAAAAATTAAATGTTGCTAGTAAGGGGCCACAAATTTAACTTCCATTAAGAAGTTCTTGTCTTATAAAAAGACGAGAGTTTCAGAAATAAAATTGGTTAAATACTCATGTTACTTTTAAGAGGTATCGTTATATGTGTAATCATGCATGGATTTGGCTTGACTTGTAGTAAATATTTCTAGTTCTCTGAGGTTGCTCTTTGGTTTGGAGCGCTTTTATAAATGGAGAGCATCCTAATTAATGCACGTAGATTTGGGCTTTTGAACCCAATATTATACTAGAGATATTGAAAAATACATGGTGTAGGTGTAGTTGTGAGTTATAGTATAACTCAGGGTTTTTAAACTTACTTTACAATTGTAGAATATGAAATCCTGCTGGTGCCAGCAATGTTGCTTTAGGGACTATTCTGTAACATTTTCAAAGCTTCAAAAGCTTTTAAGCCAAAAAGCATGGTCAGTGTCTGCCGAATGTTGGTTCTGTTGTTTTATGGGTCAGATAAAATTTACTTTGTTTCCTTTCATGTTGTTTTTGTACATAACTTGTTGATTATGGAGTTATAATCTACACTAATATTTCTTTGTGATAGATGTAAAGAAGAAAAGAATTTTATATATTGAATATTAAAATTTGTCTAAAATAGCTACAGTAGGCTCTCAATTACTGTCACTTTAAATTTGATTTCTCATATAGCAAAGCAATTTTTAAGGCACTGGGCTTTCTAAAACCCAGGAAAAGAATATTTTATTCACAAATATGGTCATTAGGAGGCATGTCTAATTTTGCATACTTTATATCTACATCATATCAGGACTTGTATGTTGTATAAGCTTTGCATCTTAAAAATAAATGGGATATTTGTAAAGGATCTTTTATATGAACATGAGTTTCCACTTAAGGTCTAGTGGTGGATATTACTGGAAAAACAGCTCCCGAGTCAATGCGGTCAATTCATATGCAGCATATTGATCTTAGGATTTGAAAAAGAAATCTTCTAATATATATTATAAGTAAAATTGCTGTACTTAGGATGAAATTATATCTGTATAAGCATTTAACTATTTCAGAGCATATTTTATCCATTTGTATTTAAGCTTAGTTTAATTTATGCAGTATCAAGTCATTTTATTATGTTGCAAAAGTCTAGTTAATTGTATCATATTTGTAGTAGAGTATTTGATAACCTATCCCTTCTAAAGGAAACAAAATTATATTTTTGTCTGACCCAGACTTGATTTAGAATTAATGTTCTGAATTTCATAAATATTATGGTGAGAAAAATGATCAGTCCAAAATTGGAAGATTTTACTTCAAGACACTGAGCTGAAAAGTTAGATGTGCAAAAAGTGTAGAAACATTGATAGTTCCTTGCTGCAGATAACTGCAGTAAACCATGTCCGTAGCTTCATTATGAAGATTGCTTCTTTCTTGCTGCAGAATAACGGTATGTATTCTTTCTCACTGCAGCTCCCAGTGCTCTGTGTCTTAAAATCATTTAAAGCCTATAGCTTGCTTTGGGGAGTTAGTACAGGGGGTAAGGAAGGCTTTGCCGGAAGAGCAATTGTAAATTGCGAGACTTGCGCATAGTGTGGTAGCCTCTTCCATGCGTAATGGTCCTATTTAATATCAAAATGATTTAAAGGAAGTGATTAAATTGCCCAAATAACTGTTAAACGCATGACAGATCTATTTTATGGTACTGTGTTTGACAGTTAAATATTAAGTAAACATTTAATTGACTTGAAGCTTGAAATGTTCAAAATGCTCTAACCCTTGCTACAGAGTGTTTTCTGCAGCAAGTCAAGTATTGTGTGTGTTTTTTTCCACCTGTAGCTTATCAGGCCCGGTCCAAAGCCTTCTAGCAGAGGGGATTGATTCCTGTCAGGGGTTGCTGCCAAGACATCGGAAGGATTTTTGACCAAGGTTTTCAAAAGCTCAGTGTCACACCTGCCATTTGATTAAGAAGGGATTTTGGATGCAGAGCCTGGCATTTATTGTCTTTTGTGTGACTGTTCTGTTTGTTTTGTCTTTGTCTCTTCTAGAATTGAGCAGTGTTCACACTAGTTTTTAAATGGTTGGGTGGATTATATATTTTACATAACCATGTTAATTTAAATTAATATATTCCCATTAACTTTTAATCATAAAATAGTGTGGACACAGCATGTCTTCTAACTGGTGATTAACCCCTTAAATTTATGAAATACATTCACGTAGGGTAAGAATTTGCTTTTATTTTTTTAATAAATTAACTGATTTTTGTTTTGTTTTAACTGGGTATTAGGCAACAAGTGTGATTTTAGTACAATACGTCTAAGGGGTTAATCCACTTGAAATACATAATGGGTGCAAAAATCCACACTCTAAATTTAACAATTTTCTATGTATAACTCTTAATTTATTTTTAAATTGCAATAGGTGTCTTGGCATCTTTGAAGTTGTATTATTGAAATGTCCAAAGTTATGAAGTTTGTGTGCAAAAAGTTTTTTTCTTACATTTTGTTGGAAATCACAACATTCTGAATTAACATTAGAAATTCAGAAACTTTAGAAAGAGATTGCACATTGTCACCTATTTGCATTCTAGCTTTAGCAAATAAAGTAAATAAATAGGGACTCAGAGAGTCCTTAAGCATGTTCTTAACCCTGCTTTGAGGAGTGTTTCCCCCCACCCCTTTCTTTTTTACTTCCTTAGTTAACTGTGCTTTCCTGTGTTCCTTTTTCTTATCTCAGAATAGCCCATTTCTTATGTTCACTATATTTCTGGATTTAGTAGTTGGTTGTACAGGTTTTGAGATTATCTTTAAAAATTACTAGTATTTTTGTCTCAGTAGTTTCTTTTTAGTACCCAGATTCCTCTTAGTGTTCATTCTCAGAAAACCACATAATATTAACTTTGATTATTTGTAAATCTCCCTTCTAATATGTCTTCTGAAAAATCTGTGCCATCTGAATATTTGAGGAGTAAGAACTAACAAAAGAAAGCCCAGACAGGATGAAATTCTTTATTACTTTAAAATATGCTTTTTTATATGTTATCTACTGAAAATAGGGTTAAGGATCCCTTAAGATTTCTGAATGCTCATATAAAATGTATAGTCAAGTACTTGCCCAGTAGTACTCTTAAAGTAAAATCATGTTTAACTTTTACCTTTATCATATACATTTCTTCTTTCTTCCTCATTGATTTGGTGCCCTCAGGGATTTAATAAATTTTATTCCAAATGCCCCCGTAATTTTGATGCTCTTTAGGCAGAAGACCGTTTAATTCAATAGATTAGTTGCCCAGTATGTAATTTCTCTGTATTCGGAAAATATACTGTTAAAATCATCAAGAGTTATGAATTAGATTGACTTAATCATTGTTTACTTATGAATATTTGATGAGCAAATTTGCTTTTATATTTATATACATTTTATAGATATATTTAGAGGAATATAAAGCTGGCCCTGCAACTGCTTTTATGAACCTCTTGTTAACCTCTTGTCCTGGTTCAGGTTTGGATTTTCTTGTCAAGTTTTCTTTAGCTCATTTATGTTTTAATAACAATAATCTGAATGAAATTAGTAATTATAACCTTAGACCCTACATATTATCATCAAAGCATTCTGCTTATTGCATCTCTTCTATTTCTATACTTGTTCTGTTAACCATGCTAGTTCCTAACTGCCCTTTTGTACATTACCCACTGTTTCTCTCCAGTTATTCTTTGGAACGCTTTATAGGAACTCTGAATTATAAAGGGCATTTCATGTTCCCTTACAGCTAAAATCCACTTATGGAAGAGAAAGTATTGAACTCTTAGAAATGCCAATTTTGGCTCTTTGGTTTTTTTCTGTGATTATTGCTCTATTGTCATTTCATATTTATCACTCTTTGCTATATTAGCCCCAGAATAACCTATGACTATTTAGAATACTGAACAAACTCAATAGTTTATTGTACATTCTCATTTATTATGGTGGATTTTTGTGTTCCCTCTTGTCTTGTTATCTTTGTGCTGGTGCGCTGTGTCCAGTAATCCTTCCTTTTGATTTTATTTTGGTGGGTAGGGTTTAGATTTGCAAAAAATATTATATTCCTAAATTGAGTTTAATTCTTTTGGTTGTCATATTGGATTATGTAAATTTTTAAAAAATAATTCCCTGGATGCATAAAAATGCAGATTACTCTCAAATGGCTCGTGTGACACTGATGCTACTTTAAGGAAGTGTCTTGCTCACCTGGTCAAACACCCATTCCTCACTGCATTTTGCCAATTCAATCCATTTTAGATGTAACCTCGGGTATGGTGAAAGACCCACCGGACGTCTTGGACAGGCAAAAATGCCTTGACGCTCTGGCTGCTCTACGCCACGCTAAGTGGTTCCAGGTTCGGAACATCATTTTACTTTTTTATTGTAGCCTTATGAGAGAGAGTAGTTCAGTACAACATGTTTAACTGTGTTTAAACATTGCAAAAGATTGCCCAAGCAACACTATTTTAAATTAAATTCCAGAAAATATGTTAACATAGAAAGCTGAGTTTGAAGATCTGCATATTGCAGTTACTATTAATTTGACAATAAACTTAGGTTTTGGGGGTGTTTTGTAGTTTGGGTTTTTTTATTTTTATTTTTAGTGGCTATATTTAAAGTTGACTTGTTCAGGAACATCACATGTTTGTGTATCTATATTTTGTTCCATAAGGCTGCAGATTAACTTTGCTTTAAATAATGGAATATGTGTTTAAAGCTTTGTGTATAGTTTTAAGATTTTTCCCCCTCTTTCTCTAAGTTTATAAGTGTAGGGAGTGAAAGGTGAGGAAGCAACTGTTTGGTTTAGTGACTTTGCAGTCATGCAAAGGCACAGAAGGGAAACCAAACAGATTTCCTTAACCTTTCAGTCCCTAGACAAACTTTTTAGCTCTTTACTTTTTCTTTTATTTCTAATGTAGGCAGATTTTTTTTTAATTTACTGATTTAAATGAACACAGGTCAAGGTCCACAGGGGATCAAGAAATATTATTCTTGTATAATCTGTTTACTTTGACCTAAAATACCAGCTTTTAAATACTAACCCTGGCATAAAATATTGCTGTAAATGGCAGCTCATTGAATCCAATTTTAAGTGTGGTTATTTTTGTTCTGTTTTTATCTGAGCTTCCATTGAACAGTGGTATTTTAACTTCTTTTCATCAAGGGATATTTTTAATATTTCTAAGATTAATTCAGTTGGTTTTTGTGTTGCTCTCAAGGCTAGAGCTAATGGTCTGCAGTCCTGTGTGATTATCATACGTATTCTCCGGGACCTATGTCAGCGAGTTCCAACTTGGTCTGATTTTCCAAGCTGGGTAAGTAGTATGTAACTATATGGTGTGAAAAATAAACATTTAGGAAATATTTCTATGATTTTTATAGTCTCATCTAATACTTATCAAATACTTACCAACTTTATTTTCATTTCCTAAATATAGTTTCTTTCTTCTTCTAGTAAGAAATCTTGGAAGGTGGTCTTAGAGTTTTTAATTTTTTGAGAATTTACTATTTAAACAATTGTACTTGATGGTTTTTTTTTTACTTTCCTCTCCTTTTTTTGTTTTAATTAACAGCCATTATTAATTGGCTTTTACATACATAGAGGTACAAAGACTTAAAAATGGGCTGTTAGTCTCCCTTTGCAGGATTCTGTTGACATTTTTTAAAAAGTGGATAAGATTAAGATTTTAAAAAATTCAGAAATACTAAAAAATAATGAATAAAGGTAGGAAATTCGAATAATACAGAAACACAAAAGAAGTGAAAGCCTTCTTGTCATTTAAACGTGAATTACATCTTACCAGGTTTTTTTGTGATTTCTTCCAGAAAAAAAAGACGTACATAGACATTATATACATTTCTGTTTTTATACATGTACAAGTTTCTCTTTGATGTTTGAACCTTTTTGATTCCTATTGAATAGAACGAATTCAGAGAGTGGAGAGAATCATTCAGAATTACAGTTGAACCTACTGATTCCAGAGTTGGGTTGAGTTAGTGAGAGTTGAATAGACAGGGTTATCTTAAGTCTATCTTTCTTTTTCTTTTCTTTCTTTTTTTTTTTTTTTTAAACACTGAAGTAATCATGGTTTTTACATTATTTGCATCTTTTCTTAACAAATGCATTTTGGAGCTCTTTGAGAGGGGCAGTCAGATCTACCTCGTCTGCATTGACTACATGGTATTCCCTTTGTATGAACATGCCATATTTTATTTAATATCTGTATTTGCTGGACATTTGGGTTGTTTGCAGTGTTTTGCTATTATATATTCATATGGTCAAACTTTTGTGAGTATTAATACACGTGATAAATTACTGGGGCTGGAATTCCAAGGTCAAAGAACATGTGCCAGTTGTTTACCAGGACATTGAGTCATTTAAAACTTCCAAAAACTATTGGAATGATCCTTCTCTTCACACCCTCACTAACTGTAGGGTATCATCACACTTTTTAACAATATGATAAGTAAAAAATAGTGTCTTTTAAATTTACATTTCTTTGAGTAATTGCTGCCATTTGTAATTTTCTCTTTTAATTGTCAGTTCTTTAGTTAATCATCATTTTCTTAATAATTTATATTTTTTGTATAATAAATTAGCCTTCGTATGGGAAAAAAATTTTGTTTGTTTTTCGACTTTATGATAGTTTTTCCTATTTAAAGTTTTTGATTTTTACAAATTCTAACTCAGTCCTTTATGACTTCTGGATTTTGCATTCTACTTACAAAATCCTCTTATATTTTAGGTTAAATCAGAGCATTTTTCCGTATCAAGTTATTTTCTACAGGTGCATATATATTTTTTAATAATTTTATTTTTCATTTGTTGGCATACAGTACATACAATATTAGTTTCAGGTGTACAACATAGTCATTAGACACCTATATTTAACTCATAAAGTGATCGCCCCAATAAATCTAGTGCTCCTCTAACGCCATATATAGTTAATAAAATTCTATTGGCTATATTCCTTATGCTATACTTGCTATCTCCGTGACTATTTTATAACTATCAATTTGTACTTTTTAATCTCTTCCCTATTTTTCACCAACTCCTCAACCCCCCTTCTGTCTGGTAACCCTCAAAATGTTCTCTGTATTTGCCTTTTTGTTTGTCTTTTCTTTAGATTCCACATAGACATGCAATCAATTATATGGCATTTGTCTTCCTCTCACCTACTCAATTCAGCACACTACCCTCTAGGTCCATCATGAAATATCTTTTTCCATCCCATTACTTCTAAATCTTTGTGTGTCTTTTAATCTGAAGTGAATCTCTTACAGGCAGCTTACGTAAGGGTCGTTTTCTCATTCATTTAACCACCCTGTCTTTTGATTGGAGCATTTAATTATTTTTCATTTGAAGTACTCATTGATAGATAGGTAGTTATCGCCATTCTTTGTTTAGACTTTTGATACATATTTTTTTCTTTTTAAGTCCCTCCAACATTTTCTGTAATACTGGCTTGGTGATGATGAACTCCTTTAGCTTTTTCTTGTCTGTGAAGCTCCTTGTTTTTCTTTCAATTCTAAATTATAGCTTTGTTAGGTAAAGTAATCTTGGTTGTAGGTCCTAGGTTTTCATCATTTTGAACATTTTATGCCAAGCCCTTCTGGCCTGTAGGGTTTCTGTTGAGAAATCAGCTGACAGTCTTATGAATGTTCCCTTGTATGTAATGTATTGCTTTTCTCTTGCTGCTTTTAAGATTCTCTCTTTGAATTTAACCTTTGGAATTTTAATTATGATGTGTCTTGGTGTGAGCCTCTTTGGGTTCATCTTGTTTGGAAGTCTCCGAACTTCCTAGGGTTGTATATCTATTTCCCTCACCAGGTTAGAGAAGTTTTCTGTCATTATTTCTTCAAATAGATTTTCAGTTCCTTGCTCTCTCTCCTCCTTCTGGTACCCCTGTGATATGAATGTTGTTATGCTTGACATCTCAGAGGCGTCTTAAACTATCTTCATTTTTTTGGATTCCTTTTTTGTTGTTGTTGCTATTCTGATTGGATGTCCTCTGCTACCGCATCTTCTGTGTTGCTGATTCAGCCCTTCGTTTCATCCACTCTGATTCCCTCTAGTGTACTTTTCATCTCAGATATTGTATTCCTCATTTCTGACTTCCTTCCTATTATGTTTTCCATCTCCATTTTTGTTTTTTATCTCTTTTTTAAAGTTCTCACTGAGTTCATCTACTGTTCTCTTAAGTTTCTTGAGCATCCTTGTAACCAGTGTTTTGAACTCTTCATCTGGTATATTGCTTGTCTGCATTTTGGTGAAGTTCTTTTTCTGGAGCTTTGTTCTGTTCTTTCATGTGGGACATGGTTCTTGGTCTCCCCATTTTGGCTGCCTCCCTGTATCTATTTCTGTTAATTAGGTAGAGTATCTTAAGTCTCCTGGTCCTAGAGTGGCTTTATGTAGTAGGTGTATTGTGGTGCATAGACCTGGGAGGGGTCCAGCTGCAGGCCATGTTCAGTGCAGCTTGTGCACCTCTGGGACCACCTGGTAAGAGTCACCAAGCAGTCCCCACATATGGCTGCCACCTGTGCTGGGCTTATAGGTGCCTTGAGGGGCCAAGTCAGAAACCAAGGCCGGCTGCCACTGGTGCGGGGGTTGGGGCTGCTCAGCAAGAGGTACAGGGCACGCCGAGGCCAGATGCTGCTTCTTTGGGTTTTGTCAGCCTTTGAGAAATTTTCTGAAAGTTCACAGCAGGAGCCAAGACAGCCTGTTTGTATGGAATAAATCACTAGAAGCCACTTGGGTGGGCCCACAAGTTGGGAGAGGCGGAGTCTCAGGGAATCCCCTGGGCGGAGCGATCTCTGTTATCCAGGTTGATGGCGCCTGCATGTGCAGCCTAGGAGTGGGGAGGGCTCAACAGAGGAACAGTGGCTTCTGCCTGCACCTGTCTGAGAGCCAGCCACCCCTCTAGCCTTCACCCTAAAGCCCAACAGCTCGGTGCCTCCTCGTATGTCCCTGGCGCTCGTTGAGCCACTTCCGCAGCTCTGGAGCTCAGAGCGAGCGAGTTCATCAGTGAGTAAAGCCAGGCCCGGGCCCTTTAAGAGGAAGGTCTCTGCTTCCTGTAGCCCTCTGTCTCACTCAGCTGCAGTCTACACTGTTTTCACAGCTGGAGGGTGGGGACTTCTCTTCCCACCACTGGAACCCTGGGCCAGGCCTAGTGTGTGGCCAGGACCTCTGGCTCCTTAGGTGGGGGAGGTGGCTCTGCAGCCAAGATAGCCCTCCCAACTCTCCATTGCCATACACGATCCTGGGAACAGGCCATTCTGCATCTCCACCCCTCCTACCATTTGAGGTGCCCTCAAATTTGAGGTGATGTAGTTGTAGGGCTTCTGTTCAGCCAGACCTCTGAGGACTCTGCGTACTGGTTGCTCTGTAGTTTTGTTATAACTCTGGTGCGGCCACTAGAGGACAGGTGTATGACTTCTACATTCTATCCAATCTTGAATCCTCTCCGCATATATATTTTATAATACCTAACAAAAGCTCCTAGAAGGATATCTTCCAAGTTAGAATTAGTGGTTGTCTCTGAGGAATGAGAGGGAGGGATGATTAGGATTGAGATCGGTAATATTTGGCTCTTATCAGGATAAAATATACATACATTCATTGCTTGTAAACTTAAAAAATTAATTTAATAATTACAAATGGATTAAAGATGGATCTAGCTATATGTTTTACCAGACCAATTGTCAATTATTCCAATACCATTTAATAATTAATAATGACTGCCCTCCCAACCCCCATTTAGAAATTTCATTATCATAAACCAGTGGTCTCAACCAGGGGCCGTTTTGCCCTCTAGGGGACATTTGGCAATGTCTGGAGACATTTTTCGTTTCTTTTTTGTGGGCCTATTTATGTGGTTGTCTTTAATTCCTCAGCCCATTTTCTTTTCACATGTTAAACTCTTAATTATCAAAGCTTCATAGTTGTTTTCAAAGTTCTGATGTCCTTTTCATCACACTTCTCCCTCTCTGTTCTTTGCCCCCCATTATAAACGCCATCCTGCACAGAAGAACTTTTTTGGCTTTTCTCATGGTTTTTTTTTTTTCCCCGAATGAACTTGACTACCATTTTGTTCAGTTTCTCCATAGTTCTCTCTTCACATTTTCTAAGTTAGAATAGTACAGCATTGAATTAATAGATTAATTTGGAGAATATTGTTACTTTTATAATACTAATAATACTAACTTCTCTTAGCCTATATTATGGGATGTTCTACTTACATTACTGAAATTCAGTTTTTGTACCTATTTAGATTTGAATAGGTTCTGTGCATGTTAAGTGTTTGGGGTTTTTTGT